CCCAGAGTTCTTCACGAAAAGCCTAGAAGAAAGATGTGGCGCTCGAGAAGCCTCTAGAGCGAGCAGAACCCTATGGGCTTCTCTTGCACGCGAGAGATAAAAATGGAAGATTTACTGGCGCCAGCTCAAGTCATTCGTTGATCAATGGGACTACAAGTGACGCAGGTGATACTCTTCCATGAAAAAAATAGGCAGAAAATGAACATTGCCACATTGCGATGCTGAGATGTTTGGTTAACACGAATCCGTGCGTGCTTCGAGATAACCACTACTCCTAAGAGCTCACATGCTAGCCACTGCTACCTTTTTTAATTTAGTACACGTCCTTCCGGTCATTACTGTGCCGCTTGTTGAATAGTCGTTGCAGATATATTGATAGCACAAATGTAGCTGCCCACTGGGCGCATGTGTTTATGCCGCTCTTATTGTTCAAATATCATGCAGTAGTACTGTGCACCTCTAGAGCTTTATAGGCAATTACCATTTCCAGACACCATGATAACGGAAGGGATATGCTCTTCGATTTCGTCCTTGCTTTTTTTGTTTCGCTAGATGGTTACTACAAACCACGTTCCACTATTCGAAAACGGCCATTATTTAGATCAGTAAAATAGAGCGAACAGCACGATTCATGTGGATCCTAAACGTGGTCACAAAAAATCGTAGAGTGTGGCCAGAAAGTATTGTGATAACGCGTTGCGGAATCTCCGAAAAATAGTATGTGACGGTAAATCTATTTGCTCTTTGGTCACCCGCACGCTGTACGGCATCGTTGAGCAACGACTCGATCGACCATATTCAAGTGAAAACTGTGGCCTCTTCTACGTTCCATTGAATGGCGTAGTAGACGACCCACAGGATTTTTTTTTTGTTTTTGAAACCTTGTACACAACAGTGAAACACTAACTAGCAAAGGGTGTTGTCGTAGGAGCCGAGATGAATTCCCTATTTTTAGCCTCTATGACTAAACCTGTTTATGAGGTGTTATTGGGTGTTGATGACAGTTTCAATCAAAGAAGTTTACATTTTTAGCGAACTCTACAGTAACTTCAATATTGTTGAGATATTTGCAAATCTCCGGACCGCGTGTGTCTGCGGTGGAGCCCGAATACGCTACTACCCTTTCCGGGGACTGACGCGTTCACCACCACGCCATCCGGGTCCTTCGTTTTGCCTGTCCCTCAGCTAGTTCTGTCGATCTTTTGCCATCAGCAATCACTCGTCAACGAGATTGATCTGGGGGGCCCAAATCGGCAACGAACCCAGTTAGGCTAAGGCCGCAGTTATAATCACAATTCAACGTATTGTTTACTGCCTACTCTTTTTAACGGCAGGGTATACATTGTGAAATATAACTTCAATGATGCTGAGATATTTGCAAAACTCTGCATCGCAGGTGTATGCGGTGAAGAACGAACGCGCTATTGTCCTTACTGGGGAGTAGCGCACTCCACCACCACACCATCCTGGTCTTTCGTTTTGCCTGTCTCTCAGCTAGTTCTATCGATCTTTTGCCATCAGCAATCACCCATCAAAGAGGCTTTCATTGAAACTCATCAGCACTCAATAACACCTCATAAACAGGTTTAGGCACAGAGGCTGAAGATGCGGAATTTACCTCGATCCTGCAGCAAAACCTTTTTCTTTTCAGTGTTTTATGGTGTGTACAAGGTTTCGAAAATGAAAAAATTTTGTGGGCCATCTACTATGTTATTCAACGGAACACAGAAGAGGCCACAGTTTCACTTGAATCTGGCCGATCGAGTCGTTGCTCTTCGAAGCCATACGCCATGATTGTGACCAAACATCAAAGGAAAGTGAAGAGCAACCCACTTTTAGCAGTTTATCACTGCGCATATAAAATTCGATGAGGTCATTCTAACCAACGTTCGTATCAACCACTTTTGCAGGACTGAGATTTTCGATACTGTGAAGTAGATTTCTTCAACAAAACGTCATTTGTGCAGCAGTGGACAGTAAGTGTGAAGAGAACATTTAGCAAATAAGAGCTATACATTTACGTTCGCCATTCACAACGAAACGAGCAATATGTCGCTTCATTAGCACTATTACAGTGAACTTTGACAATTACGGTTCTTGTGGCTCGACACCTAATGCAGGTCCAGGTGACTACGAATCGGAGAAAGAATAACACTTGCCGTCATGAACTAATTTTCGGAGATTCCGCAGCGCGTAATCACAATACTTTCTGGCCGCACTCTACGATTTTTTGTGACCTCGTTTAGGTTCCACATGAATCTTGATCTTCGCACTATTTTATTGATCTAAATAATAAGGTTTTCGAATAGTGGAACGTGGTTTGTAATAACCGTCTAGCAAAACAAAAAAAAGCAAGGACGAAATCGAACAGCATAACCCTTCCGTTGTTATGGCGTCTGGAAATGCTAACTGCGTATAAAGGTCTAGTGGTGCGCTGCACCAATGGGTGATATCTGGTGAATAAGAACAGTATAAACACTTGGGCACAATGGACAACTACATTTGGGCTATCGTTACATCTGCAACGACGATTCAACAAGTTGTACTGTACTAACCGGAAAGACATGTCTTAAATTAAAAGAGGTGGCAGTGGTTAGCATGTGACCTCTAGGAAAGAGTAATCGTGAGTTCGAGGCTATGGGTTTGTCAAACATCTCGCCATCACAGTTTAGTTAATCTCATTTACCTGCTACTTTTTTAATGTTCCCATACTGAGAAGAAGTTCGGCGTATCCATCAGAAAGCCCAGCTAAGAATAAACTAATACCAGGTTCTACCACCGTCTGCTATCAAACTAGTCGCGTGGAGGCAAGTCTCTTTCAGATTCACAACGGCGGTGACTGCCTGTAGCCGTGACGACTTCTGGCAGACTCAGCCTGGATGACCTAGGCACTGCTAGGAGCCACAGTGACGAAACCATCAAAACTCCTAAATGAACTACGGTTACATGTACTTGGATACCTGGACGGCTCGTACTCATTGGCCGTGCGGCCTCCAGCACATCCAATGAGTACGAGCCGTCCAGGTATCCAAGTACATGTAGCCGTAGTTCACAGAGTAGCCTAACATCGATTATCACTTTAGAAGTTTAGTAGCGAGGTGGAATGTGTTCTTTTCAACCGAAAGAGTCAACAAGTGGTGTCACAGAAAAGCCTGTGCATTACGAGTATATGATTCAAGAGGTAATCTAACCACTACCAGTATAACGGATCTCCCACATATGAGCGACCTTCGCTTCCCTAAGATGCAGGTGGATCCACGGGATGGACTCCCTGTTTCTGCTTCGCCGATTTGATACCTGTTTTCTGTATTTACGAGGCATATTCATGCATGAATGAGTGGGTGTGTTTTCCTTTATACGGGTTATATTTCAACGAGACAATTTGGCCAAACACCTCCAATCAAATGAAGGGGAAGTATATGGAAACGGTTAGGAGTTGTGTCCAACAAATAGTCTCCATGTCCACTCTGGAAAGGATTGACAAGCTACGCGTGAGTATACCCAGCCCCCACCTTCAGAGACCAGCAAACTATGCGCGGTTAACGGAAGGCTATGACAGTAAAAGAAACGGGTCTCATTCACCTGACTCCGAAAGAGCCCCGATTCGGCAACGTTGGTTGGGCTAAGTACGCAGAGAATACTAAAATTTTTGGGGCCATTCCAAGCCGTCTAAAACGAAAGAACTAAGGCGATGATCTCTACTTATAATGCACGTTCACTTGCATGCGAGTTGTCGATAGAAGACTTGATCATGCAAGCGAGAAGGATTAGGTACGGCATCATCGACCTGGATAACAGGAGACGACGCCACGCATTCAGCACCGTCTATGACACCGGTAAAGAACTGTTCCTCGGAACATGAGACAGTAGAGGGGTCGGCGGCGTTGGCGTTCTCGTCAACATGAATTTGTCCATGAACATCGATTCATTCTAAAAACCAGCAACCAGAATTAGATGTTTGCGATTGGAGAGATGTCGATCAGTACCGGCTTTGACAATCTTCGTCGCTTACGCGCCGACATCAAACTATGAAGAGGAAAAAGTCGAAGCGTTCTATATGGACTTGGAGAAGCTCTACAGAAAAGACCACACATTCTTCAAGGAGTTACCAACGACAAGATTGGACCAAGAAGAACGTCTGAAGAACGTCATATTGGGACCCACGAATTAGAATGGAACGAACAGGGTGAGCGGCTATCTGAGTTTATCATGGTGACCAAGATCATCCATGGTAGCTCACAACTCAAGAAGCCCCACCCTCAGCGTTAAACGTGGGAGCCTTCCAGTGGAGAGTACCATAACGAAGTAGACCACATCATAGTAGATGGAAGGTTTAGCTTCACTAATATTGCTCCTGTCCTAAAGATTTACACAGAATCAGACCATCGCCTCCTTCGTGCAAGGCTCTATTTCTCGCAGGAAGGAGAAATAGCAGCTAAATTCAAAATACGGCTTTGCAAAACTGCCATAAACTGAAACTTATTCAATTCACATTTCGGTCATTGTGAAGGTGTCGTTTTCGGAAACAACGGCGAAGTATGCGATAGGCTCATTCAACACTTTTACCTTAGCGCTATGAAATCTAAGAGTTCGAAAGTCACCAAGAAAAGTCTGCCTCAAGAAACATTCGACATGATACACTAGCGTGAATCACACAAGCTGCAGGCAACCACCAACTAACGTCCGATTGCTGTTTGCCATGTGCAAACTTTTCACTCGAGTCATCCTAGACAGAATTGACAGAGCACTGGATGAAGGAAAGCCCTATGAGCATGAAGGGCTTTGAAAAGGATTTAGTGCAATGGACCACATCCACGCGATAACAAGACACTGAAGTATCGCGAGAATGCAAAAGACCGCTCTATCTCACTTTCATCGACTTAAATAAGGCCTTTAACTCAACTGAGGAAGAAGCAGTCATAGAAGCCCTTGATAGTCAAGGAGTCCCTATTCAGTACATAAAGATTGTTCGTGAGCTTGACAAAAATTTCACAATCAGGATGGCACCATTCTACAACGATATTAACATCGACGGCAAAAGTGGAGTTAGGCAAGGCGATACCACCTCGCCAAAATTATTTACAGCCGCCCTCCAGAACGTCATACGAACATTGGAATGGGTTAATATGGGAGTGAAAATCGATGGTCGGAAGTTACACCATGATCTCCTTGCTGATGACATTGTCTTTATAACACCAAACATTAGCCAAGCGAAACGTATGCTTGCCGACTTTGATAAAGCCCGTGGAAAGACTGGTCTTCTACTATTTCTTACAAAAAATGATGTTTATGGGGAGCCGATTGTTTCCGTACGCCCCATTCACGCTCAACGGAACGAATATCTCCGATTGCTCCAGTTATGTTACAGGGTAACCTCTCCAGGCGACGCACTTTTGTACAAGGCAGTTGTTGTTGATATAACTATCCAATGTTATTAATTTGCTCTTCGACGAAAATTCATCCTGCAACAATCGGTACTAGATAACCTTGCATGTAGCGAACTAATACTATTGCAAATTGGCTTTCATTTAACCTCGGTATAAATGGTCATTTATACCAATGTTAAATGAATGACGGTTTGCAATGTCTTCACTACAAATGTTACCAAAATTGAATGTTAGTATTTTTAACATAAAACCTCAAGTTGTACTTTTATTGATTAATTTACACGAGGATGTCGGTACACAGATATTGAAATAGCTAACCCCTCTGCGAATTTCATCTCCTCACTTTGAAAACATCGAACCAACAAGCTATCCCCACCACACCAATTAATTAGGAGCAACCAAAAGAGAACCTAGTTTTGAAAACAATGGAAAATCGTTCTGTAAATACCAACCTTATTTCTACAGTTGCCATCCCAAGTAATGAAACGAATAACCTGGAGCTCACATAACTTACTTGATACTTCAACGGCCCGTGCTCACAAGTTGTGTGGGCCTCAGCATAATCACCACTTTTCGGAGATTTCCTGGCCAAGCCATTGTGGTTTCCTGGAATCCCGAGGACAGAATGGCCAAAGTCTGCCCCAAGTTGGCACCACTACACGCAGTCACAGCCCTTGTGGATCAGAGGGAGATTTGCCACTATGCGACTTTGATGCCACGATGGTGGTGGGTCCTGGTGTTAGCTTACTCTTAGCTGAGTCTCCTCACGGAAACGCAGTAGTACTTCTCAGCTTGGGAGACCCTGCCAGGAGGACGACTCCCCTCCGCTATACATCGCAGTCCGACACCCAGGAACACCTCCCAGCCACGATGAGGTAGTAAACAGTTGGGAATGAGCTCAAATAAACATATTCAAAATCTCACCCAGAAATACAATTCCGAAAACTCGCTATTTTTAAACAGTCTAAATCATAGGCAGAGACCTGCGCACGTGGATAGAAAAGTGTGCTAGTACCTTGCCAATAAGATTGCTTTAAAGGGTGGTAATCCTAATGGTGCTAGGTTGTAAAGTATGTTGCAAATTTCGTTCCGGAAGCCAGATAAGATTAAAAGAGAAATTTGCTCTAAACAAAAAATTAGCTTTGTCTTGGAGGAAACCAATTAGGATATAAAAATATATTCGTCACTAGACACTTCCTCAATGGATCTAGTTAGACTCTGTCGGTACTATATCATTGTTGAAGAACCTAGTTGCATTTTTTTCCTACCACATTGAACAAGAACAATTAGGGAACCTTTGCCAGTCATGAATTCTACATAGTTAAGGCTTTATAGAGGTGGGAATGTTAATAAGGCAAAAAAAAAATCAGCAATTTAGAGTTATGCAAAAAAATAACAATGCCTGTGCATAAACTATCTTGCGTGTTGAGTTCAGTCATTGTATTTCTACGCTGATGGTCGTCGTTAGAATTGGCAGAACATTAGGTAGAAGGAAAATGAGGGTTTCAAGAAGGGTTCACTAAAATGGATCGCATCTGCACAGCGACGAAAATCAGTAGAACATCGCCAGAGGAAGAGCACCGAGTTTGCGTCTTGTCGAACAACTTAGAAAAGAGGATCGCGATAGAATATTTTTTCATACATGAACCATTTGGTCCGAAATGCGGTCCTCCCTCAAAGCAGAGGGGTCATAGTGCTGTCGTCTTCAGTATTTTCCGTTGCTCTATCTGTCTGATAAGGAAGAAAGCGCAGTGAAATCAGGTAATTGTATTTTTACAGGCGTCATACGTTCTGTTCATCACTAGCACTATCTATGTGTTCCTATGTCTACTCGAAGATAAGTAGCACGGAGGCTGTCGATATGGCATAAAAGTACCAAAGAAAATGTTTCTGCAGCAATACAAACAATCAGATGGAGGACTCATCATAAGTAACTCGTATGGTTACAATTTAAAAAGGTTTTTGCCTGACTTGGGACAAAGCGGTTTCAGAATTTCTGAACGGCCAGAAAGACCAGAACATTACAACCCTTAAACAACTCTGCAGCAACATTGAAGTTATGTTTGCTTGAGTCATTGGAAAACATGATAAACAACCTGGCCACAAAAGCGAAGAATGCTTTCAGGAGCATGTAGGAATATTAAAAAACCAATGGATAACACATAGAACACATGGTTTTGAGAACTCCTCTTACACTCTGCTAACTTCTCTTCCAGGCTACGGTTACTCAACAGGTGCTGGCGCAGTTGAACTCATCGAACACTTTGGCAACAATTCAATCTGCTTTAAAAAAACGCTTTGCTTTGGACAATGATCACTTAAAAAGTGATAGGGAATAGTGCGCTCAGCCTTAATTAAATTTTGTTAGTGTGTCATGGATTCGATAACATTAATCATCGTAGGAGTGACGCAATACATGTTTGTACAGTAGCGTGATGTGGCCAAGAAGCTTATAAAGTTAATGTACTTATCCTCTGAAAAAAATTTACTACCGGCTTGCCGACTTCGAAAGGATGGAGGACCTGTCTTTGCTATGGTGCTGGGTCTAACCGGCAACCTAGTGTGCTTGCAGTTCCCCTTTAAACATTGTGCTATATAGGTATCATACTCGTTCAAATAAACAAATTCCACACTTCTAGCATTATAGTTGCTCATAAAAGATTTTTCTGTTACTGAAAGGGCAAAAGTTCTTTCCACTGCCCTTATCGGCGAGAATACACGGAATGATTAATTTTTAGTAGAAAATTTCACGCTACGGAATAATTTTTGCTAATTCGTGTGGCAAAGCCGGAGTTTTTTGTGTCGTATGATGACGTTGTAGCCTTTTAGCATTTTATCAATTTCAATTAACTTTGCGCTGTATAGTTAACGATTCACGCCTTTCCAAGCGAATGATTCAGTGAATGGTTTTGCGAAAGTTTCCGCCGGTTCCGCCAACACAGAAAGCATTGCCGACGCTGGCGATATTTCCAAGCGATGTCCGTCTACGTGCTTCACGAACCGCTCTTCACCAAACGACGATTTTTTCAGATACGTCTATTTTATTATTCGGGTGTAGTCGTAATGAAATTAGGAAAGAAAGACTCAGTTTTGAAAAGTTGAGAAATAATTTAGTGGGCAGTTATTTGTCCTACTCTTTTTTGAATGAGACTTTTACTAGTAATTTTGAAAAATATCTCTGTACACTTTAGGTGAATAATAGTGAAGATAAATTCGTCCGACTTATCCGTGGAAGAGACGCCAGCTGGAATGGTGGGCGAACACCACAGAGGCTTATTCGCCTTGTTCCAGTGGTAAGATAGAAAGGATACGAAATTTTTAAATTATTACTATACCCGCGACAAAATGTGTTGTATTTCACTCAGAACTTTTCTGAGAATTATTTAGTTCTATAGAGCTTTTTCGAGGTGGAGTTGATGATGACGCAATAAACGATAGAAAGGATAAAGCTCTCTGCGCTAATCAATTCTTGAGGGTGTGCTATGCATGCGACTTCACTAAGTATCGTTGTATGTGATTGAATTCATTGTCCTTATCATATTATTATGTGAATTTATCTGGCCTTTACAATAACCCGCGTTGGTTTATGGATGTGTCAAGCCAGCGCTACTATCGTCCCAGACAAACGTGATACCAATTTCCCGACTCCGGAAGGATGGAGAGCTTGGTGGGTCAGGTGTGTGGGGATCGATCCCATGCGTATTGCAGGGCTCCTCCGATCACTCCACTACCGGCACACTCATGCAGTAGAATATCTTGTCCGAGACAGGTGCCATACCCAAATAGGTTCACGAAAAGCTTTGCTCTGTAGTTAACCATTTACAAAAGTTCGTTACTGGGACAAGTTCATTCTGCGAGGACAGATTATTGCTGTTGAAGAGAACATTTTCGCTAACGATTGTTGCTACTGAAGATGCGCAAAAATACCTTTACCAGAACAATGGAATACGACACTTAGGGAGAGCTTTTCGCTATGATAAGACGTTGAACATAAAAGATGCCTCAACTGAGTTGTTTTTGTTTACACAACATGTGCTCGTCAATGGGTTTTAAGACAGTGTGTCCTTCGGAACATTTATCAAGCCGTATTGCTATTTTATTTTACATTTCTCTTACAATCTTTAATTTGCAATTTATACACATATACAACATATGTATATCGCAAACACACCGAAAATTTCCTACACTCATATTTCAATTTTTTGCATTCAAAGAACAGTCTGGAGATCGTACTTGTGCTTTACCAATGTTCCGTTTTCTGCACCGTTACACCGCTACGATTCAGTAGGGTTATCCACTGTACTGTATTTGCTTTCCAACTGTTTAGTTACATCAGTTATCTCTTTGATGAATTTATCTTGATTTTTTTTTCGGAGCTGCTCACAATTTCCATCCTTATTTGTGCTAAGTCCTTACCTAAGAGGAGACATACGCCAACTAGCTCAAGCCACTGAGTGATTGATACAAGTATACACCAAGATTCCGCAGCACCTTTCGAGCACAGTTTGGACTTGAACAGACGGCAACTTGAAACTGTAGACAGAAGACGTAACTCGAAGTTATAATTTTTATTGTTTCTCGGTCAGCAAATTAATTCATAATGGTACGACGTGGAAAATGTAAAGCTCTGAGAAGTAGTCGTGAATGATTTTCTTCATTGCCTTTCTGAACGCTGTACTGTTTCGTCTGGGTGTCGGAGTGCAATCATCTTGGTCTTATAATTGGCGAAGCTTCGGTTTGCTTTCCTAATGCTTTTACTAGTCTCTGCCGCTTCGACCATTACTGCTACTCTTCTCCCTTTAAGGTCTTCTTTCATCGCCTGTCCGCACTGTTTTGCAAGTTCGGACTTTAGTTTGCGGTTGCCTGCAGCTCGTGCGATTCCACGCTAGCGTATCAGCTCAAGTGTTTCTAGCGACAAACGTCTCTTGGTGACTTTCGAACTCTCAGCTTTCATGGCTCTATCGTAAAGGCGTAGAATGAGACTATCGTATTCTTCGTCGATGTTGCCGAGAACGGCACATTCCCAACAGCTGACTAGTGAATTGAATAAGTTCCAGCTTATGGTAGTTCTGAGAATTCGTATTTTAAATTTAGCAGCTTTTTCTCCTTTCTGCGAGAAATGAAAACTTGCACGAAGGAGGTGATGGTCTGATAGCGTGTGAAGTTTTGAAACAACAGCAGCATCTATAGGAAAACCTTCCATTTATTACCCGTTCTATTTCGTTATTGTTCACTTTACTTAGAAAACCTTCAAGTCCAGCGTTAAGAATTGAGGTTTTGGAATTGCAGGTTACCATGAATGGTTATAGTGGTCATGGTAAACTCAAGCAGCAGCTGATCGTGCTTATTTCATTCTAATCCGTGAGCCCCACTGTTACGTTCTTCAGACGTTTTTTCTTTGTCCAGTCCTAGCGTCGAAATCTCTAATGGAAACCTTAAAAAATATGCTACTTTTTCTGTAGAACATCTCCATGTCCATATAGAGCGCATAGACTTTATCCCCGTTATAGGTCGCGGTCGATGCGCAAGTCACAAAGATTTTGGCTTGATCTGAGGAACAGTTCTTATCCGGTATCCTAAACGGCGTTAAATGTTAAATAAAGGCGCCTTCTCGTTTCAGCCAGTGCAATAACGTCGTTCCTTATCCTTCCTCTTTGCATTTTCAAGTTTCCTATGCAGTACTTAGATGCAAGAGAGTGTGCGTTGTAGGTATAGGTAGACATCATAGTCCGTGGAGATGTAGGAAGCCTGGAATATTTTTAAGATTTTAGCAGCATCTTCTTAATCGTTTAACGCTCGCGTATCACTAGTTCTTTCATGGTCAGGACAACGAGACCCACTTATTGTGCTCTGTTTGGTGTTTGATACTTACGAATAGCTTGGTGTGCTCTAAAAGTAGGGGCTAGGTGTACTCACAGCTATCTTGCCAGTCTCTTCCAGAGTAGATGAGGAGATTATTTGTTGGAGACGACTTCCAATCGGCTGCGCTATATTTCCCTGCTACATAGTTGCGGACTTGGCCGAATCGACTCATAGAATACAATCCGCATGAGCGAGGTACGTCCACATATGCATGCATGGATAAGTCTTCATAGACACAGAGGGAGAACCGAATGTAGCGCAGTGGCTAGAGGCGCCCTGCAACTCACTTAGGACCGGTACTGGGTTCCAGACTCACTAATCGTTCTATTACTATGTTGTTGGCTAGATATGCATGCAGTCATCTTTAGCGATACTTGATCAAGGCGAATGGATGGCACATCTTTCAAGAATTGATCAACGCCGAAAACTCTGTCTTTTTAAATACAGAATGTATGCACCAAATCGGTGCAGTAGGAAAAGGGAATCGATTTCCTGGATCCATCTGCGTCTCAGAGAACCAAAAATTTCTTTGGTTAGCTATTTACTCTCTACCTGTCATCTGGTGACGCACCAGGATGCCTCGCAACTCATCGGCAAATTACCACTGTATCAGGGAGGCCGTAAATTAAAATTTATCTAGTTCCTAACGCTGAATAATTTGCAACGCCTGTTATGTTAGGTATACAAAGCAGGTCTCTTAACTAGTTATCAACTATTGTTATTTTATTTCTAATTGTCATAATGGCTCATGGTAATGGCACTGGATGGTCGGGTACAAAATTTATCGGGATGGATCCAGTACGTATTGTAAAATATTTTCTTATGTTAACAGCAATGGATTTGGAGCTGAACTGCAGTAAAATGTGGCATATAGCAACATTATTATAGCTCAGGATAGATAAACCAGTGATTGCTCTATAGTACTATCGAATCCCTAATTGGTAGTCTTCTAGCTATCAAAAATTTCTCACTCATTGTTGAAAAGAAAATAAATTGCTATGTGTAAACCGCGCACAAGTTTTACGTATCTGTAGCCTCCGCAAAATGAACGGTGATAGCGTGTGTGTTAAAGTACTTAACTATGCTTCTTGAAATATATTGATTTTGAGAAAAGCTTTACGTTCAATTTCCAATTCGTGCAGAAAACTTCACTAGACCTTATTTGTTCACGGGCTTCATTTTACTAATCAAAGTGAGGCCAGTGTTAAGCGAACTACTTTAGAAAAATGAACAAGAGAATTCAAAGCTACAAAAAAGTCTCCCTCTAAAAAACTAAAAAAGTTTGTAAACTAACGGTATAAAAACTTTCTTAACATTGACATATTAAGCGAAGCAATGGTGCTCGTCCACATTCTATCGGTGACTTAATTGTACAGTCCAAAGAGGAGCCTCTCAGTAGAATCGCCATAGTCCTAGAAAAGGTATAATCCATAAAATACTGTCACTTTCTACAATTTCTTTTTTAGAAAAAAAGATAAATGTTTTAGGTTGCAAGCGCATCTGAGAACTATAATGCCTCCATAGATCGAATAATCGACGAAAAATTAACGAGAAGAGATGAATGTAGCCGTGAACACCACCGAAGCCGTGTTGAAGAAACAGTACGCAGATTCATCGCTTCGTTTACATCATTCCTTATTTTATTAACAAAATTGATCCTCGAAAGTACAGTCAGTGTACGGATTAAGCAAAATGTTCTTAAATAATGTCAAAACTGTGTGCGAATTCAAAGACAGTTTTAGCACTTACGACTTGACTCCTTATCTCTAGACGACGCGGCATCCAATGAAACGTTTGCTTATAGGGTACATATATTCATGTTTTACTATCTTAAAATTCCACTTTTCTTAAGCCCTCAACGAATATTTCTTCTACTTTAATGCTTCAAACCCACGAAGGCAAAAAAAATAGGATCGACGTGGTGTTCCTAAGAGTGATTGGATAGAACGCAGTGCTATGAGTGTTTCATTTGTGCAGGAGACATTATTTCTTAAACTGGAGCATGTACACGTAACAGTTAAAACATTTGTTCAGTGAGGTCAGATTTCGGCACTGTAGCAAAATTTCGATTAAAATTGAACTGCGTATTCAGTTGCCTTAAACACTTAGCCTCAGTCTTTCTAAGCATCGATGCATTTCAATGTGTTCTTTTAATATAGTAAGGCTTTCTGGTGCGGGTAACTTTCTTCAAAAGCCTCAATAGAGAAAATTTCATGCATTACGTGACACGATGATGTTCCCGAATTTACGGTATGCGTTTCCACCAGTTGCTATTTCGTAGGAGTTTTTGAAAACCTAGACTTCACTGGCAATCTTTTGAAAGTTTTGATTCTAAATTATGTACACATGAAAGGATGCTATGTGAAACAAATATTTGAGATTTAGGGTTAAGTGCGATTTAGAGAAGCCTTTTCCATAATCTATAGGAGTCCGCACTTCTGTAGCATTCCGGTTATAGTGTAATTGTTGAAAACTGAAATGTGAGAAAAAAACACAAAGTCTGTTGCCGAAAACCAGACCCGAAAGGGTTAAAAGCACATAACGTCGTATTTGAAGCCCGTCTTATATATAAAAAAAGCAATTTTTTGGTACTATGTGGTCTTTGAGCAAATTTTCTTCGTTTCTACTTTAAGAGATTAAGAGCGAAATCTGTCCTGATATAGTTAAAACTGGAATACCCTTTCAGAGCAAAATAGGATTTTTCTTTCAAGCATTTGCTCCACTCAACTCTTTTTTTACCTGGTTTACTTATTATGCTATTAATGACCGAATAGTTCAATTGGACATGAGAAACGTATTAATTTGGCGCTTCAGAGCTACCGCATATGGTGTCGGGCTAGTTTAGAAGGGACGAACAGTCTTCATCTTCACATGGAGTCCTTTATTCCCTTACTGACCTTGACGAGAAGGTAGAGACCTCTTACTTGTCAAGCTCTGCTACCACTCTGATTTAATCATAGATGGGCCTTTATAAAAAAAATATCGTACTCCTTTTTAGCATCGACAGGCCTTCTGTGTGAATAAACAGCTTTCTGCAAGTAAGGGGTTCGCCTCATATGACACGTCGATCTTGCCACGATGAAGCCCTAACTATTTGAAGGGTACATTTAAGCTGTTCAAAAAACGCACTGTTTGCAATCACTTTTAAACATAACCATAAAATTTATACGGCTCTTGTTACACATTGTCCTACACAATTACATATGCGGGCACCATATTGCGGTGGGAACTTTGTAGCGCATTAGTTAGAGGTGCTCTGCAATAATCACAGGATTGGTCATTGCCTCCACAAGTCATTGTATGAGCCGGACGCGCACTCAATCACCTCTATGGTGTCGAATATGTGGTCGCCTATAACTATTGCTTCGGAACTTCATTCATCATAACAAGTTCTGTATGATGATTGTACGGTTTTTACCATGCAGGAGAGAACTTGAGTGCGAAGGAGGAAAATCGATTTGATCATTTGCTGGATTCGGATATCGTTGTGAGACTCACTTTAGAAAAAATGAAATTTTAATTTATATGCTTAACTCATCAATGCAGTAGGTACTTCTGGACACTGTTATCGGGATTTTTATTCTGTGGGTTTACAACATTTGACAGCGGTAGTTAACTGCACTAGAGTTGGAGAGAAGGAAGGTGGAGAGAGCAATTCGATAAGTTTAATGGGATTGTGTACTAGTAATATTCTAACAGATTTGTAATACCATTAAACTGAGTCGTTACTACGACGGGTAATTTCAAATATACAAACGATTACTGTCACTTCCTTTATTAAAGACATGTCCGTTCCAATACATCATTGAAGGAGAAGTATCTTCCACGTGGCGGTTCGAAAGAGAACATCATGGGTTCACGTCCTAGTTCAATTAAGCTTGACACTCTTATAACTATAGCCAATATGGCTCATGTAATTTTTGGTCCGTACAAGCTCAATGTTGACCTATTGGAATTATGTCTCCTGCTGCAAACAGTCAAATATAAGAGAGCTCGTCTAAAATATTAGCATGTAGATGATCTTTCTAGAGTACACTTGCTTCCTTTTGTGCTCTATTCCACCTTTCCCTAATCTTCTATTTGTCGCCGACTCTTACGATTGGCCCAATTCTATTTCGTGTTCATATTTCATATTATGTCCGATCATACAATCCGATCATTCTTGTTTATCGAAAGTTCAGAACCCAATCCAGCTTTATATTGAATATGTTTATTATATTTCTAAAAAGTGACTTTAAAGTACTTTAGAGATGATAAAAAGAATTTTGGGAGTAGTTAAATTAATAGCCCTTGTCACTGCTATAGCGAGAAACATTGGGAGTGGTGTTCAGTACACGAGATGGGATCGAAAATGTGCAAAATATCGATGGTAGAATTGTGCTGTCTGATGGCAGCCAATCCTGGTTTCGTGTTTCGTGCAGTAAAAAAACCATTCGAGGCATAAGACACACTCGTTTGATCATCCGCGAAATCAGAAACTTCTTTAGTTAGCTAACCATTCACCTCGAGTTCGTCTCGAATTACTTCTTCATAAAATAGCTTTTTTTTCGTGTTTTTAGTGTTCCCTGTTTCTCCTTCAACTTAATTTTTTGAGCAACGTTTTTTCGCTAGTACTATTTGGAAAGATGAAGGTTTTTTCAGCAAAAGGAGGTTCTATGAGAAATTTAGCATCGTTACGCATGGCTTTCCCATCTCAATCAAATCGCTTCATCATCATTACTCAGAGCAACAGCGATCAGCTTTGAAGAAATGGTCTCTTATTGCACTCCTTTTATAATAATAGCAAGCAAGTGAAGAAAAAGCAGCATTCTTATGATGAAGTTATGGTACATGTCGGATAGAGTTACTGCAAAGTAAGCATCCATTTCTTGGTCGAGGAGCGTTGGTTAGATGGCACTTATTTCGATGCTGTCAAACGATTTCCCGTACTGGAGAATTTGCAAGGAGAAATGGCATTTGGCATTCCTAATAATTTCTATGGTGGTAGCTACAACTTACAAACATCTAAGAAATACATAAAAAACCATTTGTAATAGTTGCCAGGATCGACTTTCTCTTAACCTCGGCATTGGAATATGAATGTGTCGTTTTCTTGTTCAGCAATCGCGAGGTTTTTAAACAGCATACATTTACTTCCATAAAAACACAATACAATACAACGCTAGCTGACGTTTGACGAGTCGTCAACCACATGCGACTATAATCAGCTGTTCTAAACTTCCTCATTGGAAGTCACGAAAAAGCGGTGAGTATTTCGAGAAGCTGTTGATCATGTAATTGCCATGGAGTTTTTCGTCTCTTTGTAAGTGGTATTGAAGCGTTTGGTCTAGTAGATTGTATATCAGTATACCCTTCCAGGCTCTGAATAAGGCGATACTGCCGAAACGTCAGCTAGCGTTGTATTGTATTGTGTTTTTACGGAAGTAAATGTATGCTGTTTAAAATCCTCGCGATTGCTGAACAAGAAAACGACACAAAACCATTTGTACTTCTTTGAAAGCCTTTGATATGCGTTTTTTTAGATTACATTTGTGAATATCTTGTAGAGCACAATGATCAGGTTACCCAACTTGCAGTTGTAAGCATATTCTCGACCATGCAAGACTCTGTAACTGGTCTTGTAACTGGTCTTGTAACTGGTCTTTACAAAAGAACTGGAAGACTTACAAGGAAGAAAACGGTTCCGGAGAAAGCAAGACCGCCGAGAAGCTAGCCGGTATTAAGTAAATCCTGTTACTAACAACCTCAAATCTGCTGAGGAAGAAAACGTTAACATATTTTTTTGCCATTCTTATCAGGCAAATATCTTTACGCGACGGTTTCCACTTTCCTGTGATCCAGTTCTCTTTAGAGCATTTTATCTTACTGATAGCGAGGCATTTGTGCAATTTTTTACACTTCACATACCACATCTTACATGACTCAATATCACATACATTGTGATCCCAGCACGTCTTCCATCCATTCCATTATTTCACAACTGTCTTTTATGAAAGGTTTAAATCCACACGGCTACCTCTTCACGTTTCGCCTTTGTTATCAATGTCGTTGAATGCTGGTCGAATCGATTCTCCCTGGAATCCTGGGAAAACCGTGACATAGTCATTCAGATGGATTGGAGGTGCTGACCATCTGGTTTAATCCTGTTTCCAAAGGTTGAGTGTTTGGTCTGCTTGGGACTAGGATCGAACCACAGACGATCTTGTGTATATTGCAAAGTACCCCTGACCAATGCGTTATACGAGGCTCCATAGGGTAATTCTACTCAACTAGTGCAAAAAAGCTGCGTTTTTTCGTAAGATTGCGCTTGATCTTTACATGGGCCATCTCTCTAGACGTTTTCTACCCCTAGATAACTTTTTTCTTCTGAGAATTCGTTAATCACAGAAGCGATGTATTTCAACAAAACCGAAGTGGCGCAGCTGTTATCTTCGTTTCAGTCATTTGCTTCGAACCTCTTAATTTTACACTTTCCTTCAGTGATTTTCTTCATTTTAGGGACAAAGTAGATATTCGATAACAACTTTATAAAAGAACTTTTCGTTGCAATGAATCACCTCCTCCATGGAACTTGTGCAATTCGTTCTGTATTCAGTGTAAGGGACATCATCGATTATGTAAAGTCCCGTATCCATCCAGGTCTTAGTTCCTTCTTTTGATAATTTCATAACGATATAACCATTGAGTTGTAGAGAACTCTCACCCTCGCAAAAACCAATCGGGGCCGCCATCGAAATTGTTATGGGAGGTTTGGAATGGAACAACATAGGAGTGGTAGTAGATAGCCAACAGCTATGCCAATCGCTTTTCGAATGACTTCGCCCTTATAACATTACGCCTTAATCAAATGGGATGAATCCAGGCCTACTTCAATGCAAATAGGGAATGATTGATTTTCCTCTGAACCCAATGAATTTATTATTTTTTTATTTTTTATGGATTTATTTCAACGTGAAATGGGTTCATTTCTGAAGTAACATCGTAAAAGTGGTAAAATTCGTGCTGAACATCACGAATATCTCCGATTAATCCAGCTCTCTATACATAGCTTATTGAATCAGTATAAACTTTTACGTGACAACATAACATCTGTAAGAGCCATACAATAGCAAATCGATAGCCACTTTCAATTTTAAACCAACATGTTCCGATTCACAGCGGGGTAATAAATTTTAATAAAATACTAAGAGCTCACGGATTTCTGTTAAAACGATACAATTTTTTATTGCTATGAACATTCTATATCCTAGACTCCTGACTCCAGAAGAGTACTTCTCTTGTTCTTCTTCGCCGCCGTTCCTATTTCGAGCAAAGAAAAAATTGTACAAGCGGTGTTTCGCCCAGTAGAACACGATGGTGCTCTTTAATGCATCGTTGGTTTTCGTGGCTACAGCGTCTACATGGAAACTTTAAAAAATTTGTGTTTCATGTTTATTTCGCCGAGGATTCTGCCTCTTTGCAAACTTAACATTGGAGGAATATTTTATAAAAGTTGCACATATACATAGGTGCGAGAAAATAAAAACTTTTCTATAACCCTGCAAAGCTTTCAACTTTTCCATTACTCCATTCATGGAAAAATTATCACCCGTTTTCAAAGGATCATCATCGTCGCGCATGAGCTAATAACGACCTAACTCGAGAGCGTGATAGGGAGTGAGCGTCATTGACAAGCTTTCACTTATGCATTTATGGTGCACCAGTGAGAAAAACAGTACCAAATTTTTTGCCTAGTTTTCAACATTTATATTCTTTTAGTTCTAAATCTCACGTTTAGAGCATAAATGATCTGCAAACATAATGAAGCCACTAGCATTGTTGAATGCGAAATCGAGAGGGTGGCGCTGTCATTCTACGCCATAACAAAAATGAAAGTGTCAATCCAAAACTACACGACTCCGAAAGTTAAAGGTTAGAAACGCAACCGTTTACCCAATATTTAGAAAGCTAGGTGGGGTTGGGAAGCACTGCGCTTTATTTCACGACAATCGGTGGATGAGAGCCGTTAGTGAAGGAAGCCACAGGATGGTGGGATAAGACCACCGCTCCAGATGTAGTGATGATAATGGAGAATAGTTAGTAACCTTTTTAGTTATTACAAATAGTACTCTAAAAACGATCTTTAGAGTAGTGAGCTATTAGATTACCTCGTTGTTTCTTCACTTTAGCAAAGTTTTTTCGGAAATATTGTCAGGAAAATAAAATACTTACATGTTGTTGATTTGTTACATATTTTTCGTCTTTTTGCGTTATGTTACTTGTAGAGAGATAATACTTCTAATAGAAGATAGAGGAGCAAACGTTTGGTGTTAATTAGTGACTTAGGGAATCCAAACAAATCTGGTACCGATTTGCCGACCTCCGGCGAAATGAACCTTTCATGACCCCGGGCGGCGGCATGAAACAACAAACTATGTTCATCGAAGGTCCCCTCAAGTGTCTGAGGTCCATGCCTCTTATTTTTTGTCACTAATGATAAAATTAAATTGACTTTGATTTTTATCACTGATTTAATTAGTAAGCATTTATTATTTATCATTAACAGTAGTAATGACGATGCTAGCAATGATATTACTATGACTGAAACAACTGCAATAGCAAACAAGATGCTGAGATAAAATTACAATCTTACAGTTGTAAAGAACCTATTTGATGAAACTTTTTAAACACGATGTCACAGCACACGACACAACTAGCAAAGGGTAGCGGAATATTGTTTAGCTCATTCTTTCTTCTTCTTTCATTCACATTTTAATCCATAAGCCTTCGGGTGTAAAGTGCAAATTATCTTATCCTGCTAAGGCGAAATTTTAATTTTCTGGAGTTCACGATTATGTTCACTCTTTCTGTTCAAAGGCTTATTTCGAATGCGAAAGCAATTGAGCAGGCGACAGGCGTTGTGACCTCCATTAAGACAAGATTATGTTTCCCAAGGTATCTTCTTATGTTGGAAAATTTACAACTTCAAATTACCCTCAATTCTATGGTTATCGAAAATTGTATGTGGTCGATTTTGAGTGCTATGTCTTAATACCAGACTATTCTGGGAAGTGTTTCTTTCGATTATCAAAGTTCGGCGACTTCATCGTCCTAACACAACTAACTCAGCATTCCAAGAAGGATCAACTCGATCGGCATTCAGCGATACAAAGCAAAACCTTTAGCTTCCCAGTTCCTAAGCAAATCCAAATATTTTTTGTAAATGAAAAGAAGAAAACTTAATAAATGAAATGAGTGTTGAGATCCACCCTATTTACGATGGCGAATGATATAAATAGCTGATGATAGTAATGTTAGTAGGTACATGTAGGCGTAGCTGGCGGTGGTCGACGACAGCTAGATGCTACCATTGCCAATTATGTAGAGCAGAGTCTGAGAAATTCTACAAGTCAGAGAAGAATGGTACTACTTTTTCTCTACTGTAATGCACTATGGATTTCCAGGGCGTCGCGCCTATTCATCACACTCCACATTCGACGTTATCAACGGACGCATTGGCCTACATGAAGGAAAGCGTTCGTTTATTATTCTACTGCAAAATGTGTGGCTCTTTACCACTTTGAGATTCTTTTAATCAGCACATAGGAATGGTCATGTTCTTTCATAATCAGTTTTAATATGATTGCTATTACATGATATGGATGAGGTGTTATTCATTCCAGAAGTTACTTTAAGGTAGTCAATAAAACAGCGTCAATAAAATACGAAATTTAAAAAGTTTTTAACCTGTTGGATTAGAAAAGAAGCATATTTGAAGCTCTTGTGGATGCGAGCTCATCGTAAAAGCCGACATTGAACATGTAAGGTATACGAGAGGCTCGAATCTCGTGGAGTCCACCCATAGCTCTAAAAAAATTGAATAAACTAGTGAAAAAGAGTGCTTAACTGAAAAAGCCCGTTCAGTTAGGTCTTCTTCTCAATGGTCAACAAAGCATCGACTTACGTCTTGACGGTATTCAAAGAGAACAACTGGAAAATAAGCAACATATGGAAATTGGACTAAGAAATGTCGTCGACGAGTTGAAAGCCGAAATGGTTGATAAAGCTCTTGAGCATGCGGTGGAACTGGAGAGGATGAAGATTAAGGTGGGCAACTAATTATTAAAAGCATTATGTCGTTAAGACCCATTCCACACTGAATTTGGAAGAATGATCAAAAGCCATAGGGTGAAATGGAATTTATTACGCTGTTCGAGGTACAAAAGGAGTCAACAAATCGATCGCAGTGACAGAATCTCTGAGACTTGAAAAAAGATTCCATTCTTGCTTCTCTAATTTTTGATTTTAATTTTTCTTTGATCATTTCTATTTCATCTTGAATATTGTAGAACGCTAGTCGAGCAATTCTTCCTCGACTTCAGAGATAGCCGGGCTGGAGCGTTCGCAATTCCATTGCAGAGAGTGGTGGGCTTCTGGACCTGCCAAAACCTCGAAGTCTTAAAAGAAAGAGGAATTTCAGCTTTGATGGAGGAAGAGAACTCTGAAAAGCAAATAAGAGATATACGACGAAGAAGTGAAGGACTAAATAAGTAATAAATAGGAGTTGGATATGATGGCTATAGGCGCATTGTAGTACACGCATTTGTTTCAGTATTGCGCCCTATTCTGCCCAAGTTCTCAATTCCCACGATTGTACTAGGCTTGTCTGAGGGATAAAAGCACTAATTTAGTGCATTCTAACCCACCACAAGCGATTACATATGTCTGAACATTTAGTCACTGGTACGATGCTTTTTGTATATGGTCCGACATCACATAAATATACCGATCCCAACACTTCTTACCTTAGACTCTTTTACTCAGATCCCTCACCCACGTTAGTCCTGCGATTGGTGTTTTGATTCGACTACAACTTGAGGATTTTCATTCCTTTTCTATGAATTTGTTTGAGTGCCGGTGGAATAGTTTTTTTCTGAAATATTAAAATAGCCCTTTCGAGACGGTTAACTATTACCAATTCATTTACTCAAAAAGATGCAAGGCTTTGTTGTGCCTCGGTAGGGTCTAATTAGTGCCTTACCCGTGCTGAACTGCTTCACCATTACTGACTTGCTCGCACTTGCCTCATAGCATGCTACATAAAACAATTCAAAGCACATGCTTTTCAAGCCATTAAAATTACATTTTGTTGTTTTAGCAAGAACATCTCAACGATGACTTCAGCTTATTGAATATTCGTCTGGGAGAGATGGAACACCTAGTGTCGAAACTAATGCAGGAATCTGATGAACCAGCAATTCAAGTGGTCAGAGTGCAAAGCACCAACGAACCGAGTAAAATCGAGGAACTGCCGCTAAGTGACGATTCAGTCCATAGCGTGTTGTCCGTTTCTTCTGGGTCGCCTACTGAAGGACCGGCTGATTCTGAAACGCGGAAACCTTCACAAGCGTTCATACTTACTCAGAGACCAGCTTGCGAAACAGTTAAAATCATCAGAGGAGATAAGACAGATACAACGCATCTTTGATCCATAATTTTTTCAAATGCAACGTTGATGGAGAACTTCTGTCTCATCACTTGCTTCTTTTTTGTGAAAGACATCTTGATAAGCTAAAACTTTCTTGATGTTGTTGCGTAGATAACAGATGTACTCATTGTTGCTGTCGTACCTTTTTCCTTCTGTCTACACTTTTTTTAATGCCTGACTGTCAATATTATCGTAAATTTTTTGCCATAATAGATTTTGTAGAAAGTTTTTTTTTCAAACGACGCTGTACTTTCCTTATTTTTGCGATATAAATTAATGAGTTTCATTTACAACGGTGACTTTCAATGGTATTATCGGTTGAGATAAATCACCTTCAATTTGCGTTGTTTATATTTATGTCTCTACTTTTTTTCGCTAGGAAGCTGCAAACCTTTTTGGATAAGTTTGGCGTTCCGCTGTGGTGAGGTAATGCTGATTCGGTTAGCGAGAATGTCGTTGAAGGTGAAAGCCTCGCACTTCGATTCGGATGCCCTTGTCTAGAAAGGACTGAACCGTTTCGCAAATCACAATTACGGTCAACTGTCAACAACTTCTGCAAACGATTTTACCAGCTATCCTATAGGGCTTTTTAGTAGTACTTCTGGATCGATCTTGAGAGCTGGCTGCTTGGACATTCGGGAAAACAAAGCAAAGGTTTCTCTAAAAACTGTGGTCTCTTTCTATTTCCATGCAATTCTAAAATGTTAATTTGTAAGAAATTAAGTTTGCGTTTTCGTTAACGCCTATATTATGCGATTGGGTTGAACAACGCGAGCGGAACTCAGCATTTCAGAAAGGCAAGCTTATTCAGTGTCTTAACCGTTTTATTTACTGCCCAATCTTTTTAATGGCAAGGTATATTGCGAAATATAACTCCAAAGCCTCAGCTGAACTGGGTTCGTTGCCGATTTGGACTTCATAGATCAATCCCACTAACGGATTGCTGATGGCAAAAGATCGATAGAACTAGCTGAGAGACAGGCGAAACGAAGGACCCGCATGGTGTGGTTGTGAACTCGTAGCTCACCGGAAGGGGCAATAACGCGTTCGTTCCCCACCGCAAAACACCTGCGGTCCGGAGTTTTGCAAACATCGCAGCATCATTGTACTTATTCAGTGTGTTTTTTTTTAATGAATTCCGTTACTGTATGTTGTTGTCGACGAACCAGTGGAATCCATTGTCGCCAGCCTTTCCAATGAGTCATCAAACAGTGCTTATCACACTAGCGTCTTGCCATCGTTAATAGATGCCTCTACGACAGCATGCAATGATAAAATTTACTGATTCTTCTCGGGCCACCAATATTTCCGTGCTTAAGACATTTTTTTCATTCGTCCACTATCTATTTTTTATTCTGATGAATCACTTCAACAATGAGTTGTTACGACGGTTATGAATCGCTCATCCCCTAGGCGTCAATGTGTCATATGAATCTGTTAGTAGAAATTTGAAGAACGATGAAATTGCTTGGTGTTGTCGTTGTCGTCGTCTTCGTGCTATCATATTGTCATTATCATAGTCGAGTTGTCTGTCGGTATCTTTATGTTGCTCGCGTTGTTAATCCGCCTTCCACTATTAACACCACCCGTTCAGATACGGTCCGCACGCAGATCACAACATGTATAAAGAAGACGTTCGAATCCTACCGCTGGAACATTTCTACGTTTTCGTTCCATGTCCTAAATAATCGTTGTTTTATAGAATTTTTGTTGGCGGAAATTAAGCAGTAATTCAACTACTCGCAATTCTGTCGTTCCTCCAAATTTCTAACTAAAAATTGGTCGGACTAAACAGTTGAGAGCTTTCTAGAGAGAGAGAGAGAGTGCAAATAGAGCATAGAAATCTTAACAGTGAATTTTGTCTTAACAAAAAAATTCTTTTTCGATAGATTGAAATATTTCCTGTGGCCGTATAAATGGAACTGGAATATTTCTCATGCGTTGAAAACTCGTGTCGAGCCATTTTACCATACGCTTTAAAGTGAAACGACCACTCCAAGTGACGTTCAAGAAAGGAAAGGCGTCAAAGCATCCATAACTAGCAGCAATGCGCGTAGTCTAAATCTGTACGAAATCGTTTTGTTTTCCGACCCAAGATCGATAATTTTAATCGCTCTGAGCCAAAGAATAAGCCAAGCGGTCTCGTCAACGAAAAAGAAAGCTTCATCTAATACGCTTACCTACTGTTGGTCAACTTCACGTTCAACCTATATTAGAAATCGCGCAAGAATTTGGTGAAATGATTTACGACACACATTAATATTATGAACTTTACAGCTTACCTATCACATTTTAATGTTTGCTTTTATTTTTACTGCAAGTAAAACTATTTGTTTTCCTTCTGAAGTGAAATACTTCATCCATTTTCCACTCGTGAAACATTTTCTAACCAATTTGAAAAGACAGAGCATTTCATTAGTAGTTCTTCGCCACGATTTAGATAGCAACACCTAGAAAACGGTTTTAGCGAGGACTGGGATGACTTCGTCACATTATGCGCTTTTCCCTCTCTATATTTTATGGATTTCGCACTTTTTGCTAAGACGACGACGAAATTATGATAGGCTTGGAGATGAAAATTAAGAAAACTGGACTTTCTTCATCATCTCACAATTTCTCATTTCTCTATGTCTATCTACACCTAATTTTATGATGTGATAGAGAGCATAACTTTGTGTATTCTCAATACTACAACGTCGTTTCATATTTTTTCTTGAACTTTTGTAAAACTAAAAGCAGAAGCAGTAATTTTGACTGTAATAGTTGTCTTGTAACTTGGAACTACATAATAAAAAAGCTTCACTCTAGAAAATTCTAGCATGCTGTGAAAACTTCGACCAAAAAGGCTGTAAGGGACTGAATTTATGGGAAAACGTCCCGACGTGGTTATCGCGCTAAGATTCATTCATCCAACGATGACATTTCCTTTGTCAACGCTTCAATCAATGGTAATACAACGAATCTGTTAAGCAGTTTATCAGCTGCTGAAGGGAATGAAATCGAAGCTTCAAAATATCTTCAGCTTGAGATGAGTTCGTTCGTAAGAACGAATGTAGCTGTTTTATAGCCAGACTCTTCTTGTCTTCTTACATGACTAGTCAGCATCAATCCGATCAACATGCCAAAAATTCCTTCGTGGAACCACATCCAACAGTCTTTATGATTTTAAAGATTGATGCGGAGATGGAGGTTGCTGGGAGGAAAAGAAAACCAGACGAAAAAAAGTTTCAAACTGCACGTGTAACAACTTATTTAGAGATGATTCATCTCATTTGTGTCAATGACATGAACATTCAGTTCAGAAGGATGATTTTAAGGCATTCGATAGAATAGTTAATGTCAATAGTTAGTAGTTAGTCAACAAACACCTGAAAATTTTTTTAAATTAGCGCGAGTATAGACGAAGTGTACAAAGATTCATTAAAAGAAAGCTGGCAGTTCTTTTTCTAGTTATAACATATTTGCTTTAAATTAAATGCTCTAAAACCAAAAAAGAAAATATTACAGCTGCGTTTTGCCACATTTAGACAGCACTTCTTAGAAAGGCTTAATATGATTCGTTTTCAGGAATACATATTTTCAGCTGAGTGTTCAGATTTTAAGCGGTCGTGTAGGGTAGTAATTAAAGGTGTCTTTCAACATGAACATGGATAGTAATCCAAACAGAATATGATGGGCACTTATCCAGAGTTGTGAGATTGTTATCGGACTTGTTGAGGGTGATCAATGGAATCTGGTACGTTATCCAGGCCAGCGAAAGCTATTTTATAGACGAAGTGTGCTCTCAATTTTTTTCCATTGAATGCATAGTAACGTCAAAGTAAAAGAAAAATGACAAAACTTTAAATGTTTTATCTTTTATCCTTTATTAAAGTTGCATTTTTGGTTTACTTGTTAATCGGAAACACGATAGATCTTAAGTTCACTTGTAATTCGGTGTATAACCTGCGAGATATTACAAGTAACGGTTTCGGTTGCCTGCGATCTAAAGCTGCCTAGTAGGCTGTGTTCGCCGAGGAAAATTAAAATCATAGCACTTTTTCTATAAGGCCTTATATCTCTGCCGTTCAGTTCTAGTGGAAACATAGCTACAGCTTCCTCTTCTCAACAATAGAAGGGCAGGTAAGCCAAGGCAAGATGATACGTACTCATTCATTAGTTGTTGAGCTCACCCGGAGCGGCGGCTGTACTATTTTGGCACAGTGATAAGCTTAGTAATAATAGTCTTGTTTGCTAGAGGTAAATATGAACGCGCCTTTATATGAGCACATTTACAGTATATGGACGGTGTTAAGGTAATATGGCGCAATTGGGCTTAGGAATTCACATGCTGGCACGCACTACGTCCTGCTGTTCTGAAAGCAAGTACATGTTCGCTGTGGTCTGTATTTAACCACTTCTAAACTGCATAAGGTTGACCTACGCAGAGTCATGAATAACTGAGTCGTGATTCCTCTTCCAAATGGTATTGATATGTCTGAACCTGTACCTATTCGTTATGTTTTTCGCCACTGAAAGTAAAACTTTTAATTTCTTTTACGTAGTAACGCAAACTTTAGCAGAAAACAAAATGAAAAAGCATGAGTGACAACTCTTATGGCATACAAGATGTGTGCTGCAAGAACTACTTCTTTAAATCTTTCCTCTGTTGAGTCGAAAATGCTCTCCGACATTTTCACTCTTTGAATGTTATCACCGATTGATGCCTATTACCGTAGTTATTGGGACTCGTGGAGACTCGTACAGAATAGTGGATGAACATAATACAACATGCATTGCGCGCACCGTCCTTGGTTCACATGGATGTCATTCATTCAAGGTCGGGGAACTGGTACCATACTTGCCTGGAAAGACTGAAACATTGGTTGAACACCCTTGTTAACTCTCGAAGTTCGTCGTTTAGGTTAAATATGCATTCAATCACTTCTACTGTGTTATTAAAAGGGTCGGCTGCATTGAGCATTCATAAGGAACCCTAGGCGCTTTGTCTTTTATCTTTC